ATAATAGATGAGGAGGTGTCAATTCCAGGAGAGGAAAAGCTGCTTCTAAAGAGCTAAAGAGCCAGCCTCATTACAGAAGCAGCTTTTCCTCTCCTGGAATTGACACCTCCTCATCTATTATTGGGAGTGGACTACATCCACCCTGATTGAATTGGCCCTGTCAACACTGGTTCTCCACTTGCGAAGTAACTCCCTGCTCTCCATGTGTCAGTATATAATGCCTGCATCTGTAACTTTCACTCTATTGGGAGCATAAGCTTTCGTGCAAGGCATCTGAAGAAGTGAGGTTCTTACCCACGAAAGCTTATGCTCCCAATACTTCTGTTAGTCTTAAAGGTGCCACAGGACCCTCTGTTGCTTTTTACAGATTCAGACTAACACGGCTACCCCTCTGATACATGAGAAGAAAGTGGGGATGAAATTATATTGCATCTTTGAACAAGTGAAAGGAAATAATAGTCAGCCCTAGCTCATATCATCCATAGATCCCAAAGCACTTTGCAAACGAGATCAGCATAAATTTACAGCTGAGGAAAGGAGAGCTGGATAGTGACTTGCTCAAGATCCCCCAACCAGGAAGCAAACCCAGGTCTTTTGAGGCCCAGTCCAGTGCCCTATCCATTAGGCAACACTGCCCGACTGGAAGTTGCATTTGAGAGCAGAGCCCGGGTAAGCATCTCCCCAGCTGCTGGAATCCAGCAAACTTCATTGTCACTAGGAGTTTCAAACTTTTCCTTAGCATGGGCCCCCTCTTATTCGAGAGATTGTCTCCTGAACATCATTGGCAACCCTCCCTGCCAAACTGGTAAGAGGTTTAATCAGGTGTCTGATGAATCCGCTTATGGCTAACAAGCCCAGTTCGAGAGCGACACAGCTTGGTACAAATTCCACAGCTCCAGATGTTGTCTGGGTTGGAGTCCAAGATTACAGCACGCTGCTTTCTTCTTTCTCGCTCTGCTTCCATCCTCTTACTCAAAGCCACTTTGTGTTGAGCTCCACCCAGTGCCAGATGTTCCCTCCAGATTGAATGGGCTTCTGCATGCTCCTCCTAGCTGTCTACATTGATGTTGAATGACTTCATATCATTTTTGCACATGTCGTGGTACCGCCATAAAGGGAGACCCCACTTTCTAGAGCCGTGCCGAATCTCGCTGTACAAAATATTCTTGGGGATACGGTCTCCTGTCCTCCCATTCTCCTGACATGACCAAGCCATTGCAACCTCCTCTTCTTGATATGGTTTCTAAGTATGTCAGTCCTGTGTGCTCCAGCACCTTTGTTTGGTATTTTGTCTTCCCACTTCATTTTCAGAATCTTATGCAGGCATCTCATGTGGAAGCTGTTCAGTCTCATGATGTGCTTAGCATATGTATTCCGAGTCCCTGAACCATAAAGTAGGGATGACAGCACACAGTCTCCTGAACACCTCCCCTCCTAATCACAGTCCTGGACAACTCTTTTCCCTTAGCCCCACCAATTTTGCATTGACCATCTCCTCTGCCCTTTGGAGTTGCGTGGGTGATCTCTCTTCCCATATGCAATCATGTAACACGCAGCAATTGGTCACGGTGATGACTGGTATTAGGAAAGCAGTTACATTTGTTTGACATGTTAAATGCAATATGTGTTCAGTTCTTTGTTCTGGCAATAAAGCTGGTGGATCATCTTCACAAGGCGGGCACGTTTTTCTCCAAGACTTCATTCTTGAGCTGCAGGGCCTGATTTAGATCTTGTTCACACCAGTACAAGCAGGGCCGGCTCCAGGGTTTTGGCCGCCTCAAGCAGCCAAAAAAAAAAAAAAAAAAAAGCCACGATCACGATTGCGATCTGCAGCGGCAGTTTGACGGAAGGTCCTTCGCTCCGAGCGGGAGTGAGGGACCGTCCGCCGAATTGCCGCGGAATAGCTGGACCTGCCGCCCCTCTCTGGAGTGGCCGCCCCGAGCACCTGCTTGCCAAGCTGGTGCCTGGAGCTGGCCCTGAGTACAAGTCAAGAGTAACTCCAGTCAATGGTGGCATGAGAATGGGATCAGGCTCTTTGCATGCATGGGTTATAACAAAAGTGTTTTTCATAAATATATAAAATGCAACGAAAAACATTCAGGCTACAATGCGGCCTTCTAGCAACGAAGTGCGGGACGCCCCTCTAATGCCTCGGGAGTTGCATTTATAGATGTCCCTGTGAGTGCCTGATTGGGCCTTCAGTCCCCAGGGGGACTCATGCAGGGTCATGTACCCCCACCCCGATTTGCAACTCTGTCTGCATATTTATTCAAGGGACACCATCATAGGATCTAACCACATCAGCCACATCATCAGGGGCTCATTCACCTGCACATCTACCAATGTGATATATGCCATCATGTGCCAACAATGCCCCTCTGCCGTGTACATTGGCCAAACCAGACAGACTCTGCGCAAAAGAATAAATGGACACAAATCTGACATCAGGAATTATAACTTTCAAAAACCAGTAGGAGAATACTTCAACCTGCCTGGGCACTCAATAACAGACTTAAAAGTGGCAATTCTTCAACAAAAAAACTTCAAAACCAGACTCCAACATGAATCCACAGAACTGGAATTAATTTGCAAACTGAACACCATCACATTAGGCCTGAATAAAGACTGCGAGTGGATGGGTCACTACAAAAACTAATTTTCCCATACTCATTTCCCCCTACTGTTACTCACACCTTCCTGTCAACTGTTTGAAATGGGCCACCATCATTATCACTACAAAAGTGATTTTTCCTCCCTTGGTATTCTACTGTTAACTGAATTGTCTCGTTAGACTGACCCCCCACTTGGTAAGGCAACTCCCATCTTTTCATGTACTATGTATATATGCTTGCTACTGTATTTTCCACTCCATGCATCTGATGAAGTGGGTTTTAGCCCACGAAAGCTTATGCCCAAATAAATTTGTTAGTCTCTAAGGTGCCACAAGGACTCCTTGTTGTTTTTACTACTGAAGCTGTCTGCCCCCCCCCCCCACACTATCTGCAGGCACAGGTCGTCTCTCACTCTGCCTGCTGGTAGAGTCAGCTCTGCTGGTGCACTTTAGTGCAAGAGATTACTATGATTGTTTGTTTTCCAGTTACACTCAGAAACCCTGGACTGGGGCACCTTTGTGCCAGGTGCTGTACACACATAATATGAGACAGGGCCAGATTTTTAAAGCCATCTTGGTGCCAACAGATGCACATAGGCACTGAATGGGATTTTCGAAAGCACTGAGGTGCATAGCTGCCTGTGGGAGTTAGTCACCTATGCACTTTTGAAAGTCCTACAAGGCAGCCATCTGTTTCTTTAGGTCCCTACACACCTCTAAAAATCTGACCCGCCGTCCCTGTCCTGAAGTGCTGGTACTCTAAATGACAAACACAGGCACAGCAAGGGGAAGTGACTTGCTCAAGGTCACACAACAGGTCAGTGGCAGAGCCAGGAATGAAATGCATGTCTCCTGACTCCTAGTCCATGCCCTGTGCTCTAGGCCATACCACCACCCTTTCCCTGGCTTCATAGTTCCAGATCAATTATGGAGGACCAGCATTTTGCTCAAGGATGTATTTTTATCGGACTAGCTGATATTAGCTTAAGTGGCCACTTACCCAGAAAAACTGCCTTCTAGCTTAGCTATTGCAGTGAAAGGTGTGGTTAGATGTTCGACTGGGTGTGTATGTTCTCCATGTGTAGGGTGACCAGATAGCAACTGTGAAAAAACGGGACAGGGGGTGGGGGGTAATAGGTGCCTATATAAGAAAAAGTCCAAAAAAATGGGACTGTCCCTTTAAGAACAGGACATCTGGTCACCCTATCCATGTGTGCTGCCCCAGCTCTGCGCAGCCAGCCAGCACAGAAGACCTTGAGCGAATCGCCCAATGACCACAAGATCCGTTGAGGTACGAAGGCACCAGGCCAGGTTTATTGTCGACAAAGCACAGTAATAGCACCTGGTAGACTCTACAAGGATACAAAGACATATATGCCTGTGACAATGGACCAGCTCAGTGAATGGCGGGACTTTCCATTCCTCCCTCGGCTGGCCAAAGATACTCCCTCTGAGATACATCTTTATACGCTGATACAAACAAGTTATGTACTGCCTCTGACATAGTTAGTCACTGCCCCCAGGCTAG